CCCCCAAAACCCCAAAACCCCAAAACCCCTTTGTTTGTTGCTAAAATTGAACGATATTAATCTAGAAAAATAGAATTATTTATCGTGCTTTATCTATATATTGGCCTTTGAACCATTCTGTCTCAACCTCTGTACCTCCTCGTCTACAATTGGCTCCTCCATGCTGTTTGCCATGAATCCAGTGTCCGTCGTAAACTTTGCCGTTAGCCCAAGTAAAAACTCCGTGTCCATGTCTTTGGCCTGAGCTGTAGAATTAACTCCTTTTACCCTCAAGAAATTCACCAACATATTTCTTTCCATCTTCGAATTTAAAGGTTCCTAGAGAAATATTAATGATGATGAAATCTAGTGATGGTTTAAGGCCATTTTTAGAGTTAAAACCATCAAGAATCAATGGAAATTTGAATCTTTGTGCTATTTACTTTTCTAAAATATATGTTCACTCTTCAAGCTTATAAACTAATGCAAATTCCAAACAGATATAGAAGAATTTGACGAAAATAGTGTCAGATTTATTAGTGTAGCTATCGATATTCCAATATACCATGACAGATGAATAATAAATTATCAGTCTTCTCCTACCTCTACCATCATACAGGTTGTTATTTAAACCCTCCTTTGTATGAATTGCCACTAGCTAGTATTAATTTCCCATTGCCATGTCTTTTGCCTTTTTTCCAGGTGCCTTTATAAGTCGTGCCATTCTCCATTTCCAAAAATCCTTCGCCCTCATAAAGGTCACGTACAAAGTCTCCTTCGTATATACTTCCATCGCTCATGAAGTATTGGCCAAACCCTTCCATTTTGCCATCAACGAAATCTCCAAAGTAGACGTCTTGGTTGGGGAAGATCTTGAGACCTATTCCATTGGGCAGATTTCTCTCCCATTTTCCATGATAAAATGTTCCATTGTGGTAGATGACTCTTCCTTCTCCGATCCTTTGGCCGCTCTTCTTGCTCCAATTTCCTTCATAGATTCCTTCTTGGACTCCTTGGGCATTTTTAAGCATGAGGTCGAGGTCCTCTTCTTCTGATTCTGTTTCAAGCTCATCTTCTATTAGTTCTCTTTTCTCTGAATATAGTTCTTTTAATTCCTTCCTCAATCTTTCGTCAAGTCACCATTTAAACTCATTATCGTTTTGAATTCTTCCGTTGCCTGTAGCTTCTTGGACCCTTCTTGTCATGGTTACCTTCTTCGTGATCTTATTAACATCAAGACCTTCTCTAGTTTTTCCAGTATTGCAGCAGTTGCCCATTAGATTATATTAAAATATAATTTTTGCTGAACGAACGGGGTTTTGGGGTTTTGGGGTTTTGGGGTTTTGGGG